ATACTTCCAGTATCCTGATGTAAGATAAAATACTATCTGGTAATTTAAAAATCATGGTCCTAATACAGATTAACTAAAGAAAAAATGAATACTTACAGATGCACTTGCAACAGCTGATGGCTAAGTATTTCTGGTCTTGGCAGTTCCAGAATCACTTGTAGGACCTGATTGTTGAGTTGTTGTTTGAGCTGCCTGTGATGGTTGAGTAGCACCAGCATTTCTGGTTCCTGCTGTTCCAGATCCTTGTCCTTTCTGAAATTCCCAAAGTATAAAATGAGATATAGAAACAACCAAAGTACAAGTCACAATCAGAAACAAATTGAAAGCATTACCAGGATAGGACACCCCTTCTTGTTAAGGCCTACTGTCTTACAATTAGAGCATGTCATTGGTGTCCCTTTCCTTTATCTCTTACCAAACTTCTTTTTAGGTTCATCTCGAGCTCTTTTCCTATTTTTATTAGGTCTACCAGGCATCTTGGTAATTATAGGAGGCTCAACAGTTGGATTCTGTGTTGATAGCCACATCTCCATGTTGGTTACTAGCTGTATGTAACAACTAAAAGCCTTCAGGTATGTTTCTTTCCTGTACCGGTGGGTTACATAGTCAGCAGGCTCAAATCTCTTAAAAAACATTGCACATATAGGAGCATGGTATTCCTTTGATCTGCCATGATCTACATGTGCATGTATTGTTGGAGAAGTCAACAATATGTTTGTAAGCGCCATGTTGTATCTCATACCCAGTCTCCCCATTCCATTTAAATTCATGCTTAACAGCATATTGAGATTGTTCCTCTATGTACCCCATTGCCATAGGAGATACATCAGAAATCCACCTTATTGCAAATTCTCTCATGGTAGTCATCCTTTCCATCACCTTCACTCTAATCTCTTCTAACATGGTTATGATAGATTTGTGCCTAGCAGAAAAGATCCAACTGTTAAAGGTCCCACACATGTTTTTCTCCACAGAATCACATTTACTCCAATCTTTGAAGAATGCTCTACACTAACATTGTTTTGGGTATCTCAGCAAATCCTTAATGATCTTACTATCACCTGATTCTGCCAACTCATCTATCTTAGCCTTCAAATATGCTTCAAATGAAGCCCTTGCACAGGCCCAAAACTTCTTCCTTCTTTCCTCTCCTTTCCACTTTTGTTTCAAGTTGATCCATATGTGTCTTGCACACATTCTGTGCTCAGCATTTGGCAACAACTCAGAAACAGATGCAACAAGTCCCTTAAGCAACAAGAAAAATAATTAGAATATCAGAAACATATATAAAGTAGACAAGTAATTTAAGGAAGAACATGGGTGAAGTATATACCTTCTGCATACGGTCAGCCCCTCACCTTGGGATTCTGTGAGTTGCAGATCATGCATCAGGCACCTAAAAAACCATGACCATGTGTGCTTTGTCTCCTTTTCAACCACTGCCCAGGCAACAGGGTACATTTGGTTGTTACCATCTTTACCAATGCATGATAGTAGCTCACCCTTACACACACCCTTCAGAAATGCTCCATCAAAGCCAATAACATTTCTACATCCTTCCAACCAACCAACTTTGCAAGCATGTAGACAAATATAGATACCCACGAACACCTCTTTACCAGGTATTGTCTCCTTGGAGGTCTTCATAACAACAGTGCTGCCAGGATTTGTAGACCTCAACATGTCAGCATAATCATATATTCTAGCAAACTCCTGCTTGTATTCACCAAGATACTGACCCATGACCTGATGTTTAGCCCTGACACATATGGATTTTCCCGCATACACACCATACTTTATCCTAATCAAATCCTGCAACTTCCTATGCTTTATTTCAGGTTGGTTGATAATCTTGTCCTTGAAATGTTTAGCTACCCATGCTGTATTAGCCATCTTGTTTCTGGTTGCTCTAAAATACTTATGAACAGGATACCTAAACAAGATGGCTAATACAGCATGGGTAGCTAAACATTAGCCATCTTGTTTCCAAATCGGATTAACTTTTGTTTCGTTTACATTTTTTGTTTATATGTTATTTTATCTTTTCCAGAATTAGTTTACAAATACAGTTTACTAACATTTTGTGCCTAATTATCTCTTTGATTCTTGATTTGGAAAGTTTGGAGAAGATGCTCATTGCTAGGTTTTGGTTCTATTTGATACTATTGTGGTCCTTCTGAATAGCGGAGAGCCGGAGATAAATTTAGAGTCCATTATTTAAATTGTCGCTCAACTATTTGAAATTATCTAATAAAGTCGTGTTTCTTTTCTTTGTAACAAAAAAGTCATTTGACTATTCATATAATACTCAGAAGGTCACTAATTAGATTTCTTAAACGTTCGGTGGCCAAATACTTATTTCACCCTCTAAATATCACCATCGACAGTTTAGGAAATCTAGTTGATTGATCTTCTAAATGCTATAGAAATAGTTAAATGACTTTTCTGTTATACAAAGAAACATGACTTTGCTATACAATTTTAAATAATTGAGTGATCATTTGCATATTAAAAAAGTATTAGAAAATTATACATCGGATTTAAATAAGTAACTTAAAATAACTTTTGAACCTCCCTTGCCATCACGTAAAATTTCTAGTTGACATTCCCGATTTAACCCCTTTTTTCTCTCATGCGGCTTTTCGTTGGTCAACAACCAACCAAAGTGCTCTATACTTCTTCACTACTCGTACAGGCTTGACGAAACTTTTTTTTTTTTTTTTTTTTTTGCTTCTTTCTTATTTGCCCTACATTTTTTCCGACCAAGGGGTTCAATAATTAAATCCCGTTTCTTTCACCTACCTACACTAACAGAAATTATTGAGGTAAAGTAAGATTGCTGATTACATTGTGAACAGTAAGTACTTAGTTGATCATGTTTTATGAATACTAAGTTGATCATGTTTTATGATTGGTGGGAGTAAATAAACAGGGTGTTGCAATGGGTAACTGGTTCCCCGTTATTTTGTATTTTTATATAAGTATTATTTTCAACCAACTAACAAGATACTTGTAGTATGATTCCTATTATTATTTGAGAATTATGGTTTCAATTTTAAACCCCTTCAAGGGGATGTGCCATGGTGTATGCTTTTTGCTGATGACATAGTCCTGATAGACGAGACGAGGGTCGGTGTTAACGAGAGATTGGAGGTCTGGAGACAGACTCTCGAGTCCAAGGGTTTCAAACTAAGCAGGGCTAAGACAGAGTACCTGGAGTGCAAGTTTAGCGCCGAGCCGAGCGAAGTAGGCAGGGACGTCAAGCTTGGATCTCAGGTCATCACCAAGAGGGACAGTTTTAGATATCTTGGGTCGGTGATTCAGGGGGACGGAGAGATCGACGGGGATGTCACTCACCGTATAGGGGCGGGGTGGTCGAAATGGAGGCTTGCATCAGGAGTCTTGTGTGACAAGAAAGTGCCACAGAAACTCAAGGGGAAGTTTTATAGAGCTGTGGTTAGACCTGCCATGTTGTATGGGGCTGAGTGCTGGCCGGTGAAGAACTACCATGTCCAGAGAATGAAGGTTGCGGAGATGAGGATGCTCAGGTGGATGTGCGGGCTCACCAGGTTAGATAGGATTAGGAATGAAGTTATTCGGGAGAAGGTGGGGGTGGCCCCAGTAGATGAGAAGATGCGGGAAGCGAGGCTCAGGTGGTACGGGCATGTGCGGAGGAGAAGCCCCGATGCCCCAGTGAGGAGTTGTGAGCGGCTGGCGGTGGTTGGCGCGAGTCAAGGCAGAGGGAGGCCCAAGAGGTATTGGGGAGAGGTGATTAGGCAGGACATGGCTAGAATGCGGATTTCCGAGGACATGGCCCTTGATAGGAAAGTCTGGAGGTCTAGTATCAGGGTTGCAGGATAGGGGCTTCTACAATTTTTCATACTTCTGTCCCGGGGCTGGGGGGGGGGGGGGTTGGTAGGGCTCTCCATAGATGATCTGTGTATTGCATTGTGCCCCCTTATGGTAGTTACTGATCAATATATTTGCATGCCATTTTATTTATGGTTTATGTTTAGATAATTATTTATGTGATCTCTGCTGGAGTTACTAATGCTCTTTTGCTTTTTGTTTTTTGTTTTTGTTTTCCTTTTCCTTTTCCTGAGCCGAGGGTCGATTGGAAACAGCGTCTCTGCCCTTTCTGGTAAGGGTAAGGCCTGTGTACGTATTACCCTCCCCAGATCCCACCTTGTGGGACTATACTGGGTAGTTGTTGTTGTTGTTGTTGTTGATATAAATGCTCGTATGAATTGCGGCAGGTCGCAAAACAAATCGAGCTTTTAACGAATAGTTGGGGCAGCACTTATTAGTATATGAATTTTATATATGGATTATTTGCTTATATCCGAACTAAATTAAGAAATCAGAGTAATTACACTAAGTAAGAAATTCTCAGTATCAAACTGAGCATGACTTTAATTGTGAACTTTTGAATCTTGAACCTGATATAAAAACTTTTATTCAGTCAAGTCGACCTCGAATTTGATCTTTTGGCAAGTATTTTTTTTTTTACGGAGCCAAAACTTTCGTATAGCAAGTAATATTATTATTAATGCTTATCATCAAAACTTACATATAATTTACTTTATAGGTAATTTAATTGTAATATTTTAACTGTCAATATATATAAATTAAAACTCATATTAGGCAATTTCGGTTGTTCGAATTGCATTCATTGTAGTAGAGCAACGCCTAATTTTGTACACACATATTCTATCTCTTGATATTGTCACCATCTGGATTTATTATGAATTTATGATCTACTAAAATAAAAGCATACTTTAGTCTCTGGCAACCTTTTTTTTTTAAAAAAAAAAAAAAACTCAAACAGAAAAAGGGAAAATGACTTAAAAATCGTTTTCTAATTGCAAAAAGGGGGATGAGGCAACTTGTACGTGTCTTCGTAGAAACAACTCTAATCAACGTGACAACTACATATTTTTAGTAATTAAAAATTAGCCACTTGATCATGATAATAAAAGTTTTTTTCTCTATATAATAAATCATATCTTATGCACCCTCAGAATCAGAGAATACGAACCAAAGTCTCTGTCTCCCTAAATCTTTTTCACTTTTTTCAGCTTTCATTCATTCACTTCTTTGTATTTTAATGACTTTCAAATATTCTTACAATTCGCCGGTCGGAAAATGGCTCGGCTTCGTCGCCGCTGTTTGGGTACAAGCCATTTCCGGCAATAACTACACATTTTCCAACTATTCCGACGCTTTAAAGTCTCTAATGGCCCTTACTCAGCTCCAATTAAACAACCTCTCCGTCGCTAAAGACGTCGGGAAAGCGTTCGGAATACTCGCCGGACTTGCCTCCGACCGACTTTCTACTCCCGTTATTCTACTCATTGGTTCAATCGAAGGCTTCATCGGTTACGGCGTTCAATGGCTTGTCGTTAGCGGCACAATTAAGCCACTTCCGTACTGGGTCATGTGTATATTTTTATGCATGGGAGGTAACAGTACTACATGGATGAACACCGCCATATTGGTGACGTGTATTCGTAATTTTCGAAAAAACAGAGGACCTGTAACGGGAATTTTGAAAGGTTACGTGGGTTTAAGCACCGCTATTTTCACCGATATTTGTTCGGCGCTTTTCGCTAGTGACCCTTCAACTTTTCTTCTCTTGCTCGCTGTAGTCCCTTTCGCCGTTTGTCTATCGGCGATTGTATTTCTCCGTGAAATTCCGCCTTCCTCAACTCCCGCTGAAGAGAAGGAAGAAGTTAAATATTTTGGTGTCATTAACGTCATTGCCGTTATCATAGCGGTTTATTTGTTAGTTTTTGACGTTTCAGGGACTCATGGAAAAGTTTTTTCACAAATATTTGCAGCTATACTCCTAATCCTTTTAGCTTCCCCTTTGTTCATTCCGGTTCATTTAATGGTGAAAAACTTTATCCGGTCCAATTCAGAAAATTTTGATGTTGAAGGCAATGAAAATGAAATTGTAGAGCCATTACTGGTGAAAAAGGAGGTCGTTGTAGTGAAGGAGGAAAATGCGGCGGAAATGGAGAGAAGGGTTCCTGAAATTGGAGAAGATCATACGATATTTGAGGCGATAAGGACACTGGATTTCTGGATATTGTTTGTTTCGTTTCTTTGTGGAGTTGGAACTGGTTTGGCTGTGATGAACAACTTGGGACAAATGGGATTAGCTTTGGGATATACTGATGTTTCCATTTTCGTCTCTCTCACTAGCATTTGGGGATTTTTCGGTCGCATTCTTTCCGGCTCTGTTTCCGAATACTTTATCAAGTAAGTTTACTCTTTCCATAATTATACTGGTTACTTAATAGTTAGAGTAGTATTTACTTTTAGTAGTACATGTTGCTTTAAGTTTGCTCCTGCTCTAGATTTAAGTCTGGTCAAACCTCTCTATAACAGCCTATTTACAGGGGCGGAAGGGTTTCACACGAGCTCCCTTCGCCATTACACTGTATATATAAAGCAAAATCTGTTTTTTACCTCTATATTACACAACTCAAAAGTGTAGCTTAGTAGTCAAGGGGGTTCAAAATCTTTGTAAGGTCATAGGTTCAATTCCCACTAGCTATAATTTTTTTTAACTTTATTCTTTTTGAACCCCCTTAGCGAAAATCCTGCCTCCAACACTACTCATTTGTTCCAGATTCTTTTGGATGTCATAGCGAAGTGTTGTTATAGAGAACATATATTATAACGTAGTATGGAAATGAGAAGTTTTATGGTGTGCCTAACTGACACGAGTTGTGTGAGGCCTATTTTTATCTCACAAATTTGTGATCCCATATCTTACACTTTTGGGTCCACAAAATTGTAAGACAATAAAGAGGACTCACACAACTAGTGTCAGTTATGTGAAGCACAAAATAAAAATTTTCTATGAAAATTGGTTCCATAAACAACTTGACTTTTATAGTAAATATCTGTTACATAGCGATATTGTTATAGAGAGATATGACTCTATATATATTTGCTTTAAAATCATGCATTCTTATTTACCTTTGGCTAATTGGGTAATAATGGACAGTGTAACGTTTGTATGAATTTATAGGTATGTCATAAAGTTTCATTTTCTAAAGTAACTTATGTTAAACTTAGAAGCTGAGTTTGGTTGGAAGATATTTGAGTGGAAGGAAAAGGGAGAAGAAAAGTGCGGCACTTTAATTGAGCCCACCTACTACCATTCTCTTTTAATTTTGTTCTCTTCTTCTAAGTTAAACCTAGTGGGCCGTGCAGCTAGTGGTAGGTATGGTTATCAAAGCAGTAAAAATTTCGTAGTTTCAGAAATTATGAACCAAGTAATTCTTGAAATTAGTCAAGATGAATTTGTTGAAATTGGACGCGTACAAACTAATTCAAACTGATGTGAGGACTTATAAAGGTTCACCAAAGTAACCAGATTGGTAAAAATTCTTGCCAAGTACGATTGGTTAAATAAGGAATCATAGTAATGGATACATAGAATGAGGGCTCCTCTTTGTGTTAGACTAGTAGTAGTAATAATTAAAGAAGGTGGGACATAGATTGGCAGATATTTTATGTGCATTGAAAATGCCTTTGCATAAAAGTTGGAAAAGTCCTTTTCTTTGTGACGTACTCCTTGCTTATGAAAGATCTACTTCTAAAAGAATTCCTATCTTAATGTTCTCAACAAGATCTGAGAAAGATTAGAAAATGCATTAAAATCTAGCGGAAAGGTGTGGACCATTCTGACCAATAGATGCATGGCTTTTAAGATAAAACTTCCTAAAGTTGGAATAGGGTACACTTTTCTCCATCTTGGCATGTCTAAACAAATGCTTATAATTTTCAAATCATTTCCCCCCTAGAAAGTGACAAGAATGTACTTAATTTGGTTTTGTACCATTTTATGGGGTTTCAGTTCCTTTATAGCATCTTAATTTCTTTGTTTACAGGAAAGCTGCAATGCCAAGGCCAATATGGAATGCAGCTTCACAGATTGTAATGGCTGTAGGATACATCTTAATGGCAATAGCTATGCCAGGATCACTCTACGTTGGCTCTATCGTCGTTGGAATTTGCTATGGAGTTCGTCTTGCTGTTACTGTTCCAACTGCTTCCGAACTCTTTGGTCTTAAATATTACGGCCTTATCTATAATGTCCTAATACTCAACCTTCCACTCGGCTCATTTCTCTTCTCTGGTTTGCTCGCGGGTCTGTTATATGATGCTGAGGCTACAAAAACAGCTGGTGGTGGCAACACTTGTGTAGGCGCTCACTGCTACAGGCTAGTATTCATAGTGATGTCTATAGCTTGCATCGTTGGGTTCGGATTAGATATTCTGCTAACGATCAGAACCAAGAACTTATATGCTAAAATTTATGCAAGCAGGAAAACAAAGAAGAGTACTACTGCTGTATTGTCTTGATAAATGAATGTTGATTCTCTTTGGTAGTACTTGTTGTGAGGTGAGTTGGGAGGACTGATAGGAAATGTTTTTCCTAATGATATCTTTTCACTTGCTTGTGCAATTGTGGAATTCATAATTGTGTTTGATTTGTTGGAATTCGTTACTTGTATTGAGTAAATCTGAGTTCTTTGTACGCTTTTTAGCCTGTAAAACTATTAAAAGTGGTATTTTATTTTACCATGTTAATACGAAAAACATTACGTCTGATTTAATTCGTACACACTTGGACTATGATTCATGGATTGTAATAATCTTTGCTCAATTAAAATTTTACTTTATCGACCTTTAAATTATCTCAAAATTAAAAGAATTTGAATAGCAGTAAGACTAGTTCTTCTGCACGACTAAACAGCCACTGTTTTCATCATGGAGTTGGTCCTTTTTGGAATTGCTCTTCTATACTTGGCCTAACCAACCGTTCTTTTTAAATAATTTTGCGTGTAGGAATATAATACTAGAAGTGAACAATCAACGACAATCCACAAGATAATGCAATGAATGCACATCAGAATTCAGAAATTCCAAGGAGTTAGTCCAATGGTGAAAAACTAGCAGGAATCAATATCTAGTAAATGATTCAATGAGTAGCCTGTTTGACCAAAGCTTTTTTTTTTTGGACCAAAAGTGTTTTTTCTCAACAGTTAAGGTGTTCGTTCAAGTTTTTAGTAGGAAAAAAATACTTTTGAGTAGGAGTAGAAGCAGTTTGGTTGAAACAGAAAAAAGTAACTTCCCTTCAAGTTTGAAAAGTACTTTTAAAAAAAATTCCATTAAAAGCAATTTTTAAAAGCTTGATCAAACACAAATTACTGTTCAAAAGTATATTTCAAATTAATTAGAATAGTTTTAAGAAAAACACTTAACAAAATAAGCCAGACTTTAAAAACTTGACCACACGAGCTATAAGAATTTGATTCCATTGGGACCCACTTTTTTGGGCAAGTCAAACTGTTCAATGGATTTGACTTGGTTCATGTGGAATGGGTTGGTGTGTGTGCCCCTGAGTAATCTAGCATGGTAGAGGGAGGAATATAAAATCTAAAAACTAAAATAGCCAAATGAGATCAGATCATATCACTTTTTGTATTTACTGTTCCACAAAATAAAAACAAAGCATTTTATTAAAAAATTATCCTTTCTTTTTTCAGCTCTTTCTATGCCTTCAACGATAAATTTCAAACGGCATTCTTTCTCTGCTGTTTCCTGGCGGATGATTGATAGGAGTGGATTATGATTGGGCTTCTTTGCATCCGATCGACTCATACCTCCCAACTTTGTCTTTAATATTTTTTCAATAGATCCGACCCATATTTTTGGGTCGAACTATATATGCTTTCCTTTGCTCCACTGGCACAAAAAATCAAGAAATCAAGATAGAAAGAACGTTCAATGGGTGGTGAAGCCACCTATCACTCTTTTCTAGTTGAGTAACCCATGATTAGTTTAGTATTTACATGCATTGTCATTTAATTAACCCAATTGTTGGTGGAAAAAATTTAAACTCGTATTAGAGATAGTACAATAATCAAAACATTGTTATAAAACAATAAAAGAAGAAGAGTATTGCAGAGAAAAGTAGAGGGAGAGAATTCTTATTGATTGGGATGAACTACAATAGAATAGAACCCTCTATTTATAGGGAGATGGTGACTTAGCCACCAAGCAATAAACCCTAGAATCTCTCTAAATATACACATTCACCATAAATATAATTCTATTTATAACACTCCCCCTTGAATGTCTATTCAACAGATAATGTGCCTCGCTAAAACCTTAACTAAAATAAAACCCAGTGGGAAAAAAATTCTAGAGAAGGAAAAAGAGTACATATATCTAACAATACGCCTTTTGGTTGCCGCGTTAAAAACCTTGCAAGGAAAACCCAGTGGGACAAAACCTTGTAAGAAAAAAAAAGTACAACGCGTATTAACTCCCCCTGATGAGAGCATCAATTCACATCTTTGAGCCTTCGCATTCCAATCTTGTGCACCATTTTCAAAAGATCTTTGGTAGAGATTTGATAAACAAATCAGCCATATTAACTTGAATCAATATATTGCACCTTGAAATCATCATTCTTGATAGAGATGAATTGTCTTCATATGATCTTGTTGGAATCGTCAGTTCAATATCTTCACATAGAGGTGAAAACTCTTGGTATCATATTATCATGCCTATAGTTATAGCAAGATACATTTGTGCACCAATTGCACTGAGGAAGTGGTACTTCAAGATCAAGAATTGTATATGCTTCAAGCGATTTAAATCCTTCAAGGATTGTCATATAAGTCATATAATAGACTTTAATTAGATGCATATCAAGTTTTCATGTCATGATAGACAAATAAGCTATCGAAAACTGATTGCACATATCATTGGCTTATACTTTCAAGTGTTTGAACTACATGTTCAAAACTACATGGCTTTCATATGAAACCAATTCTCTTTGAATTTTTTCTTCAGACTTAAGATCCTCATATATATATTTAGCGCTATCATAGATGTCGTCGACAAACATTTTATATCGGTTCCAACCTCCTTATTTTCCATAAAGACATAACATAGAGATCTCTTCATTCATATATTCAGGTACCTGAATCTCTCATGAGATTTTATGAAGTGTTATGTCATGTGATCTTCTAGATCACTTGCCTCCTTTATTATGATCATTTTGATCATTTGCTCATCTTCTTTATCAAGAAGTTTTTTTGAAACCGATTTGTCTATATGCTTTAAGCTTACCATAGACTTTGTCCTTCTAGGACTTAATATGAGCATTTGCAATGAGAATATAGTTACTTTCTTTGGGTCAGCAAATGCGTCTGGCATGCTTTGCAATAAATTGCACATGAATTATCCTTTTATGAACTTCAAGTTCATATTATTTTATTCGGGGATATAGATGTATAAATGATAATTCATTCCATGTAACTTTTTCTCAACTGTTGTATCTTGTCTCCCCCTCATGTTAAAAAAACTAACTTGTTTCCTCAACTTTGAGAACCCATCTTTGTGTGTTATGGTGTTAATCATAATATACACCGCACATCAATAATAATAAGATGGAATTATTTGGTTCCTGACCTTAAACCACTTGTGAGGGGAGAAAATAATATACTTTCGTATATAACGTATATCAAACTGATATACAAAACTTTGTTCTCATAAGCAATTGTTTAGCTGTTAAGTGGAGGCACTCAATAAATCATTTTGCTAAACCAGTTGTGACGTAGACCAACTTATCAAGATGAACTTCTTGAATAGAAAATCTGGAATATGCTCTAAATTAAATTATTGAGCAAGTTACCTCGCAAACACCATGTTGCGAGTTAATAATAATCGCACATGCAACCATCTCACAGATGCATCTTATGTGGTATACATGGCAGGTGAATGGGCCCATATCACCTTTGATATTTTCAGCATTCATGGGATTCAATCCCAATTTTAGTTGGTATATTAATTAATGAGAACAAGCAATATAAGAGAATTCGTAAAGAACTTTCTAGTTCTTTAATATTTACCCATGTGAATTCTCTATTATTTTTGCACATCATACTTAAATTGATATGGCTAAACCAATTATGCCAACTGAATAAATTATCAATATTGATAAACTTCATATTTACACCATGACGTGTGCAATTATCAATAAACTCCAAGTTTATTATGATATGGGTTTTTATATCAATAAACATCCACTTTAGTATGGTATTATTTTGTTTGTGTAGTACAAACTGGAGGATAAAGCGGGTAGCTTTTGACATACATATTATCCGGCTAAAGTTGTAGTAGTAGAAGATATTAAATCTTTCCTTTATTTATAGTCTCAATATAATCAACCGCTTTCGCATATATGGAAACTGAATAAGTTTCTTTGAGACTTACTACAACACAATACATTATTGGTAATTAATTGTGTTTCTCCAAAATAGTATAATTGGCTCTTGCAGAGTTCTCAAATAATTTTGTAGTACCACATATTCATCAACACCCATAAGATGAATATCTCTTATAAAGAGAAAGTTATACCATTATGGTTATGGTCAAAATTATATGCAAGATATGTTTCTTGCATTACCGTTGTCTTTTAATAATCACAATGCCAAAATATTTTGGCGTACAATAAGTACGTGACCAATGACCATTTATGCCATAATAATGATATTATTTTCTTATATCATCTCAAACCTCCTTTTAGAGGTGAGTGCGGTATATTCACTACCACTAGCACATTCATATTCTTTGAAGAATGAATATGTATTCATAAATCAGACATTGTCACAATCACATCATGAATGGACCATAGTCATCTATATGTGCTTTACAAAATCTCATGTCAAATCGATGACAAATATTTTTCACAGAGTGAAAGATTATTTTGAGAATCCTTATTGTTCTCATTACCACAAATGATGACAATTATAATTTCGTCTATTGCCATGTCCATATCCATTGATACATACATAGTAATAATTTTGTCTTCTTTCAGACTTACCACATACTGCTATCACATTCTCTTAAGGGAATGAGAATGGAGCAAATTCAATGGGACGGGTTTTTAATTCTTTGCCCACAATCATACATGAATTTGATCATGGCGAGGCATAGAAATTTTACCACTTCAGGTGGTTATAATTTCTTACAAACTCCATTAGAGTTATAATCAAACTTTGTTGTCTTTGCTTGTATTTAAAATCAAAGTATAGAATAAAAGAGAAAAATACGGTAAAATACTTACCTTAAATCCAGAATTTAATCATGAAGGAAGTTCATGGAATAATTGACAATCATTATGCTCAATCCCAAAGCTTCTACTCAATTGGTTAGAGTCTCGTGCTGATAACGAGTTATAAAACAATAAAAGAAGAAGAAGAGTATTGCAGAGAAAAGTAGAGGGAGAGAATTCTTATTTATTTGGGATGAACTACAATAGAATAGAACCCTCTATTTATAGGGAGAGGGTGACTTAGCCACCAAGCAATGAACCCTAGAATCTCTCTAAATATAGACATTCACCATAAATACAATTCTATTTATAACAAATATGACTTTTTCACTGAGACATTAGTAATGAATTGCTTCGCTTCGATTTTTTCCAAAAAAGAAAAGAAAAAAAAGGCTTGAAGATTATACTACCTTATTAGATAAGATTGGTGGATATGATTAGTAAATTTG